AGAATTTGTAAATAAGCCATCTGTCTGATTACATTGTTTTTAAACATTAATAAAGTGTTATGATCTAACAAGTACTCGGTACTTGATGAGCCTTTTTGCTGAATACTTTGTCACAAGTCTGACACCTTTTACTCCAGTTAAAAGCTGTTGAAGGGTCACCAGGTCTTTCAGTCGACCTTTGGGCGACACACACAAAAAAAACAACCTTCCAGCTTTTACACTCTCTATAAAGACTTTAAGCCACAATGTGTAATTTTCAGTAACATCTAATGGTCAGACTGCAGCGACATCACGTTGCTTTACCTATCGTGTGAAGTGATGATGAAATTCGTTTACGTTAGATCGCAGCATCAATCTTTTAAAAAGAAGTTTTAAAATCAACCCTGAAGACTGTTTTTTTTAATCTCCTTCCTCCAGCACACACACGGACCAGCTGCTGCTTCTCTCATCCCGGCCCACCGCTCACTCCTGCTGCAGGCTCCTCTGATGCTCAGCCTCCCTCTGTTCATCTCTAGTAGTTAGCCTCCAGAGTCTAGCCTTGGCCTGCCATGGTCTCCTCGTGCTCTGATGCCCTGGCTGGCTCCTTCGATGTCACACCTCCTCACAGTAAGCTGTAGTCACTCTACCCCGCCTTCAGACCTCTCTCAGACTGGCGGACTAATCCGTTCTTCCATCGTTCTGCTTCAATCCTTCGTAGTTGGCCTCTAGTTACCCCGGGCCAGCTGTAGCCTCTTCCAGGCCATCATTGCTGTTTCCCAGCAGACCTCTTCGAGCTGCTTCTGTGCTCGTCAGCTCTCTTCCAGAGCCACAGAGAGCTGCATATCTGGTCAGCTCGTCACAGTTCTGGAGCTCTCTCAGCCTCTGTTCTGACACCGCTTCCCCGCTATTCCTGCTTGAGCTCAGGAACACTGTCTCTCCTTACCTTAGTTGTCCAGGTGATTCATCCTCCTGTTTCGGCTCTCTGAACAAAATAAACATGGACCATGGGCAGGAGAGAGATGCTATTCTGCTTAAAAATAAAAACAAAAAATGCAAAACCGACCATTTAAATTAATCGTCCTCGTAATAACCAGGCGGTTACCGGTTGTGGACGTAAGTCTAGTTTACATATTTTATACATAGTATTTTATTAGTCTGTGTAGGACTGTATTTAGGTCTATAACTTGCTGCAGTCCCATTGAAGCATAATCACTGTCAAAGCAGACATTGGTTTTTCAACTCTTAGCTGCCATAGTGCAAAAGATGTCTGCCTCCACAAATGCAAGCCCACTCCTATGTGATTATAAATAGCAATTTCTAAGGCAGGATAAATATAAAGATTTAGTCTTTCATTTTGAAGGTGATAGCATACATCTAGATTATATATACAATTTATATCAGCCATTTAATTCTGATACACTGTATCTTTAAAATGCAAATTTATCTGGCTGACCCAAAAGGACCCAACCAACAGAAGCTGTTACCAAAGTTAAACAAAAAAAACATGTTTATGGGCTCTGATATCCTCCAAGGCCACAGATCTTCAGTGGCTTATTACGATTCATTAATTATTCACATGTTTTTATGTGACATAGAAGACATTTGTCATTGCAGTAGTCCATAGAGAGACAATTAATACAAGCTTTGGGTCCCTAAAGTTTGTCACTAATACAAATAACATGTTATCTATGCTAAAGTTTAGAAAACAGCAAATCCAAATGAAACTAAAGTTTACTTTATTTCTGATGATGGGGAAAAAAGGAGGACCGTTTATCCATGCTTGTTTTTGTAAATTTGGTTGTATATAAGATGTGAAAGAGGTTTACAGGTTTGCCTCAATTCATCTGACAGTTTTTCTGTAGGTTTAAAAAAAACAAAATTTGATTTTGTTTTATATCAGTGAGTAAACAAAAACCTGATCTGACTCACGTAGAAAAATGATGGATTGAGAGGAAGACGAGACACCAGAAACAACAAGGCACAAGCATCTGTGCCTCTAAATCATGTTTAATGTATGCAAATAAAATATGTTCCTCAAAGACTTGACATTTTTTATTGATCTTATCTAACATTTCTGTCCAAAGATTGAATTTTGAGTTGCATTACCTGTTTTCAATAATCAAAGTTAAAAGGATTAAAACAGTTTACTCTGTTATGTTTGTCTATGAATTAAATTTTCGAAATCAGTGAAAACATTTTTTGAGGATATTTAGCATTTCTAAGATGCACCCGTGCCTTATGCAGCCTAGCCTGTTTCAGACAGTCATTGAAGCTCAACTTTCTCACCATGGTTCTTTAAAATGGCCAAGGGTCATAAGAGAAAAAGGGCCGGATCTATCAAAGGTTTGCGTGTATAAAAA